TCAATGACTAGTAAATGACGTCGAATGCAGTGCACTTAGCTCGGAGAATGTAACGACCAAGAACACTTGCTGTTGCTGTTAACTGAGCTCGTGGGGGTACTTGCTGTTGCTGTTAGCTGAGCTCGTGGGAGTACTTGCTGCTGCTGTTAGCTGAGCTCGTGGGAGTACTTGCTGCTGCTGTTAGCTGAGCTCGTGGGAGTACTTGCTGTTGCTGTTATCTGAGCTCGTGGGAGTACTTGCTGTTGCTGTTAGCTGAGCTCGTGGTAGTGCGTGCTGTTGTCTGTTTTTAGCCAAAAATTCCATAGTAAATTATTACTATGGAATACTCGTGTAAGTTCTTGCTTAGGTCTGTTAGCTCAACGGTTGGCGTTCTCTTACAGGGAGGTTACACCGCGGGCTTCACGTGGCACGTTGCCATAACTTCGTCTGTCGAGGCTAAACATTGCGTGTTCTTATCAAAACGGCTAGTCATTTAACACCCTATAAAATCAATCATATATAAGTGGTATACAGAGAAGCTCCTGTTAAAGCTATACTAATGCTGCTCCTGTTGCACCTATACTGTTGCTGCTCCTGTTGAAGCTATAACATTTTTCAACAACAGTATGGAATAGATATTTACATTTGATCTGAATCATTGAGATGAATAGCTGTTCTATCACTTTTTGTTGCTTTGATGAAGTGATAGCCAGTTTCAACATTGGGTAAAAATGTGTGAACCTTCTTATTCTTAGAAATAAATATTTTCGACAATTGGCTCCCAGCTCACATTCAGAATAAAAATTTTCTAGTAACCATGAATTGTCCAGTAACTGAATTACTGAATGAATGAATTACTGCAACAAGTATTAAAGTTTATCATACAATAAATTTCTTCAATAACGTTTGCACAGTTCCAGAACACAAAAATAAAATGCACTGGGAGATAAAGAAGATGAGCCCAAAAGCCAAGACGCTTCTACGTAACTTGGGGCTGTTAAAAATGAGCAGCTCGGCCTTGAGCAGCGCAGGGCCCCTCTTAAGAGACCAGGTGCATAAGAAGAGACTAAATCAACAGCGGTTTTGTCAATACAGCTCGGTTAGACAAGACTAAACTTGCCCTTGGCTTTTTCAAGGACAGCGAAAGATAAGAGGCATCGTGCAGGCGAGGATATCGCTTGTGGACGTGCAAATGGACTGGCGTGCGTGATGCGCCGCAAGGAAAGTTTGGAGTCTAGCTTGACTAAGAGTTGCCGATTTTTGAAGGGAAAATAGGGAAAGTAAACACCAAACTGTACTTTTAACCCTCTCATTTTCATCTATTTTCAATTTATAAGTAAGAAAATAACAATAGGATACGGAAAAAGAAAATAACAATAGAATAGTGATTAAAAATTGTGAAAACTTTTAGGTTAATTTCTATTTCAATCGAAACTAGAAAAAAAGACAGAATAGCACAAGATTCGATTCCAATTCTATTAATTAACTTGGAAATAATCATTCCAAATAAGCGTGATGTGATTTTATTGCATGCAAGAATTTAACTAAAAAATATTTCGGAAAACCGAAGCCGCTGCATTACCATGGCTAAAATTGAAACGAACTCACTCGTCGCAACTAGATTTTCTTGGCACGTAACACATGTTGTACATAAACGAAGGCCTTAAGCCGAGTTGTCAAGAATTCTTTTTCTACAACTAACATAGGTTGAAAATTGCTAGGGCACGGCAGGGAGCAAGTAACATTATGCTGGCTAAAAATCGGAACCAATAGTATGCAGTAGCTCAATTGGTTGTAACTTTAAATTATAATTCCAGACATGTGTACAAATTTCGATTTTTCGATGCAATCCCAACTGGCTAAGGGAAGTTAATATTGTAATACCTAACGCTTTTTAGTCGTGTTTATTCCAGGGGCATACATTCGTTTTAGAGCATTCCTTCCCTGATGAAACAAGGTTAGTTAATGCGGACTTGTTATTATTAGTTAATTAGTAAAAATTTTGATTAAAGCAAGGTTAGTGAATACTTAATTCTGATTTATTGTAATTTTGTTCTTTCCGATGAAACTGAATATCTATGGACAACCTTGATTCAATTCAGGAAGGTTGTATAAATCATTAAGAAATCTGACGTCCATTAGAAGAACCCAATCAACAATGTACTCCTATAAATAAATTGCAATCGTAATTCGCAATTTTATACCAGGATAATTAAATGAAACACGTGCTAAGGTCATTGGCTCGTGATGGTTACGTCATTCGCATTAGAGTGAAGATGTTCAGTCGGAGCCGCCGCAGCAGCTGCATTTTTACACGATCTCCCAGGCAATTTACAGCTGCTGCTCTGTAAGTAGTCGTAAGTTTCTATGCGCTGCAGCAACCATTATTCTTACGCGTGATCAGAGAGCTGCTCGGTGTCTAGCTGGTCAGCAACTCGCTTCTCTGAATTCATTTAATTCAGATGAATTCCTTCACAAAGCCAACATCAGCTTTTATAATAAAGTGCCACGCCGGAAGGATCTCTTCAATTTAATTGTCGCTTAGCCTGAGATTGAATTGCTAAATTTTGAGATTGAATTGCTAAATTTCACTTTTTTGAATTGCTAAATGAAGTGAATAATAAAAAATGCCACGTATCTATATCTTTTTTTTTCGTTAAGTACACAGAGCAATATTTTTATCTCGTGCGATCAGGCAAATCACGTAGTTTAATAGAGCAGCTCTAATGGAATCTAGGTATGCTGGTGAAGAGCTACTGCATTACGAGCGCTCGCGATGAATGTTTGATGATGAATTTGTACTTGAAATCTTGAAGAGTTTTATTTATATGACCATAAACTTGGCGTCTTAATAGAGTGTATCAATGATGGCAATCACCTGTATGACTTTATGAACTATATTTTTGATAGATGTGAAGAAAGTGTCTATAAGAACTGCATTGTTGATTAATAGAAACCAGCGTCTTGATGAGCTTTATTTTATTGGTGAATATGACCGTAGCACCTCGATAAATTGCTCTACTAATGAGCAGTAACTGAGAGTCGTGATGAACCGTATTTTCAATGAAGTTGAACTTAACGCCCTAATAAATCATATTTTTGATGAACGTTGACTGCACGTCTCAATGAACTGTATTTTCAATGAACATAAACTTAGCGCTTTTATTAATGTAAAATACGTTTATTTTTTTGTATTTCTATATCTATGGATGCCATACGATGAACATTTTCTCCAGAGCAGCTCAACGTTTCACTTAGTTTTTACAATTGGACATAAACTTCTCTAGAAGATTATCATAGTAGTTATCCACATGTTTGCTACATGTGCTTCTGAATTATTTTCTCTAAAAATTGGTTTATGTTGAGCACTGTACCCACGACGGATGTATTTTAAAGCGAAAACAAGCAACATATAAATAGGTTAAATGGATCTTATACAACGCTCCTTAATTCTGTTGTTAATAACCTGCCATCATACTTAAAGTAAATGGTATAATTTTTCTGCAAAGCCTTTTTTCGTTGATTAAAAGCACGTGAAATGAAAAACAACGGGGCAAATTATCTGATTGGCTGTTGCGATGATATTTTGTTAAACTTCTCTATGAAATTGAGATCACATATAAGAAAGAGTTTATGATGACCGACTTGAGTTACATAAAACGAATCTATAATTTATACATATAACCTCGATGCTGAGCCCTTAAGACATTGCCGCGATCCCAGCCAAAACATGCAGTTTTTTGTCAAGTTTCTGAGAAACTAATGTGGTTCAACAGACTGCAGCTGCCAAGCCAGCGTTTTGAAGAAGCCGTTGCTGTATTTGTTGTATGTTTTTATAACGTAATGGTTGAGGCTGCCAGCAAGGAAATAGGCAGCGCAGCAGCATGAGGCTTTGATTACAGCAACTGCTCTTTTCCGAGCTCTCTAATAATAATCTATGCGTAGTAACGCAACTCTACCCTACTCTTGTGGCGTAGCAATTGAGCCTTTCATAATCCTTCCTTAACTTCAATAGGTTTTTTTTTCGAGCGTAACAAAACAGCTCTGTCCTACTTGCACCTATTTGATGCTTTTACTTTATTTTGAAAAAGAAAAGTATAGTTAACTATACTGTTATTACAATTTTTTTACTTAAAAAAATTGCCCCATTGATCCTTTTACTTAAATTTCAGCAATCTCTTTACCTCTACGCGTAGTGAGCAAATCTATCCAAATTTTCGTTACGTAAAACCTTAATTTCAGCCCGTTCTCCCCATATAGGCGTATTAACGCTATTCTACCTAACGCTAGTGACGTAAAACTCTTCCCTATTAGCCGCTAACCCTACATTTTATAGCAAGCTTCCTATTGCAACGCTTATTAATGCAGCTCTAACTTCTAGCTTCAGCTACCGTATTATGACGAATATTATTTTACGCTGCACTATGTGAAGAGTTAGGCTACAATAATATAGTGGTTATAGAGGTGGTTATCTCTGACAATGTTCATTGAACCTCGATCGCGGACAAATTTTTGAGTTCTAGAAGATGAAAAAATATTTTTTAAGGATCTTTATTATAAGATGAATATTTTTTATTTCTGCATGATATTTATGTGAGCCAGATTTAAAAAAACACAGAGGTAAAATTTACCAGTTTATGCCTTTAACATTTGTCGGACTGCATTTGTACAACTGCACCTACATTCGATGGGATTATATCGTATCAAAATTATGCAGTTTAATATGGGTAATATCACTGGCGCCTGAATTTCCAAGTTTCCAGTAGTGATAGGCTAATGTAAATGATGGCTAATAGGCTTATAACGATAGGCTAATTCCAAATAATTTTTTATGTGAGAATATATATGAATATTTTTAATATTCATATCTAATATTCATATAAAATTTGATATTACATAAATTTCAATATATATAAGTTAAATTATGAATATTAAATTTGATATTCATAATTTATTATTCATGTTAATTATATATTTATAATTTTTAATATATAAATTTATCAATATAATGTTATACTCACCACTTTCCAGCGCTCCTTGACGACGTGGCCAGGCTGTAGCAAATCTTCGGCACTCATTTTGATAGAATTTAATTACTTAATCTAGTACTAATTTAATCAGCTTCAAGAATAAAGCGCTGATCAGATCACCTAGTATCTACTGACTAGTGCAATGACTAGAATGTAACGATTATAAAATCTCTCTATAATCTCTATACCTATAACATCGATGTAAGTATGAATTGATTAATAAAAAATTTTTAGTTAGACGAAATAAGATCACCAGTACTCTAAACAAAGCAAAATACGCTCTATAGATCAAACAATTGTCAACAGATTCGAATAAGTATAAAATATTGCCTACAGAAAAGAAACTAAAATTCTTGAAAACATTCCTAATCAAATTATTACGTTATTATTATATACTATAATTTGACATTATTATTGGCAGACATACCACAATAATTTACACACCACAATATACGGTATTGATTTTAAGCATGTTAATTCAAGTTTCAAACTTTTCAGCAGTTCTTAGTAGGAAAGCTCATGTGTCTTATGATTCTATTTCACGAGTCTTCGAATGATGTAGAAACTTTTATCACTCAAACATGAGTTCGTATGTCTTAAAAAAAATTCAACAGACAATTGAGCTTTGTTTCAAAAATTAGTTCAGCAATTTTCACTTCTCTGTTGCGAACTCAAAATTTTTAAGTATATTTTGTACAGCAAAGTGAATGTTATAGAAAATTATTTATATATGGCAGGATACGTAAGTTTTGATATTCAAAACATAATGTCTTTTCATCCTTACAACGTTTTTTATTCACACTTTTTAATGCGAAAATTAACCATTAGCTGGCAAATTAGTAACATTCTTCACTTATCAGGTTTCTCATTCACTGATAATTTACGTCAATATAGACCCGTCAATTCACGTCAATATAGACTTTCAATGTTAGTTTTTAACGCTCTAATAAGTACGTATGAGAAATAATAATCACGCGTTTGATAAGTTCGAACGACTATGGTGTTCAATAATCATCCGAACATAATTATTAACTATTTAGCACTGACACAATTAAAACAAATCAGTCTAACTTGTTTTGCATTTCAATTATTCACTGTGAATTCCTGGCACTCACTGCTTATACTCGTGTATATCACTGCGACGTCCCACGAATATAACGTAAGCAAGACAGATGATCAGTAATCTTAATCTTCACTATTTCAGTTAATTGTGTAGTAGCACTACTATGCGAAATAAGTGATGGAGTCAAATAATTAAATAAATATTTAGGTGAGACAATTTTTATACGTTTTTTTTATAAACGTTCACCCGTATAAAACTATCATGAGACCCAGGAGCATGGTCAGGTGAATGACACTAGATAAAGTTACCTCAAGAGACAGCACTAGTGCATCACGATAATTTCTGCAAAACCTTGATAAAGTTTGACTATTTTGTTCAACTAGCCTTTGAGGCTGCAAAGGTGTTCATTTTATTATTTTTCAATGTTGCTCGCTACTTGGCTCAAGAAATACGAACGTCTTTGCGCGTGAGTTTAATCCTGAGATTCTAAGAGACCAAGATGCGCCGCTGCGACGATGCAGTCAGACCCGACCGTTGCTGCGACACTGAAGCAGACACACACACTGAAGCTGCACTCGTCTGCCCGCTGCCTGCCTCTCCAACAACTGCATACGAGCGTTGGCACCGGCCTGTGCTCACCTTCAGATGCCTCCCTCTCTCTCTCCAATTGTCTTCCTTTCGTTACGTATCCATCTTTTTTCATGACTCTTCTTTTGAGTTTCTGCGGAGAAAGAGAAAATATAATGTAGTAAGTCCTATATATGGCCCTGGCACATTTTAGATGCAATGAGAACTTCACTCCTCCTGCATAAATTATAAAGTCAAAATTAAACAATTTCTTTCATAAGTTTTATTCATTTAAATGAAAATTAAGTCTGTTTCTGTTTCATTGATAAAAAATATATACCTGAATTAAACAAAATTACACAAGAGCCTGAAAGTACCACACAAAGCTACATTTCTGAGTAATTCTCCTACCTTCTCAGCAAATATATTTTACAATAGTAGTATAATATATTGTATTTGTATAATATATTTTACAATATATAATACAATGGTCGTCAACAAAACACATAAGCGGTTGAGATGGTGCCGGGTGAGAGAGTTCACAAGCCACTAACAGTTTTTCGTCGACTGAGAACAGACGTGCGATGCCATGGGGGCTATAAATGGAAGTGATGTCAAGTCTACGGTATTTGAAACGAACATTTAAGTAACACTAATTCCGAGTGAAGTGGCAACGTGTTGAAATTCAGATCTCATTGAATTATGTGAAGATGACCGTATAATAGAACTATGAGAAATTTGTCTTGGATAACTTCTGTACAAAGCACTTAATTTATTTTCCTAAAAAGTTCAGGAGGTAAACTCTTATATTATAAAGATAAAAATATTGACAACAAAAATTAAATTAATACTGTACGATAATAACCATAAAAATTAATAATTCTCTGAGTTTTGATCATTCGTTAAATTTATTCAGAAAATCCGCAAACCAGTCACAAACAAAAACATTTGCAAATAAAAAAACAGTCGATCTCCCAGAATGATGTGTGAGAAAGAGGCAGAGTATTCAACTGCGACGGCAATATGCCTCTGCATGGAAATTCTATATCAATGCTAAATTCTACTAAGCATTTGGTTCGTGATTGAATAATTGTTTTGAAACTTTTATAAGCCATTTAATGCATTTAAACTCTCGTTATGGTAATCAAAATCATGCGGGTCGGAAGGTATACATTGAACCTAATTGCTTCTCACTGCTAATGCGTTAAAGATGTTCTCAGGGACCACCCATAAACAAGGACCATTGAATCGCCGGTCTGACACAGATTCAAACCTTTTCCGGCGAGAATCGTCGACCTTGACCAACAAAAGACTTTCCTCAAAGGATGTCATCCCATTAGAAACAAGTCAACCCTACCGAACTAATTTCGAAATAAACAAAAGTTTCTTTCAACTCAAAGCATGCCTATGACAAAAATTTTATCAGACAAGACCCAAATCAATCATGACTTGTTCTTATTAAGCAGCATGACGCGCAAGAAAAATACGATGTCTTAGAAGCTTTGGCTGCGTCCTATAAACTATGTAAAAAATTGCAGTAATATAGTAATTTATGATTAAAGCCTGGTTGGCAGGTGTTAAAAATGGAACGCTATAACATTTAAAATTAATCTAGAGTCACAATAGTCATTAAATTTTTTGAAAACGCATTTTCTGAAAGACTTTGGGTCATACTGGTCACCCGAGCTCAAAATTTTTAGTCTCCGCACACATATTGTCTCTTCCGAAATCTTCTTTTATTATTAAACTTGATAAATAATTGCCAAGAGTCATATTTAAAGAAATAAATATATTTAATTAGTCGAGGGTTAAGGTTGACGTAATTTCCGACAGCGTGTGTGAATTTAAGACGACGTTAGTCTTTGAAGGTGTTTCTAGTTCACCGTACTCCCCCGCTTTCATGTAAATTAGCAAGCCGGGCATTTGACCTACAAAATAGTGAAATAAGTCACGATTTCAGGGCTTCAAGAACGTCTTTTTCTCACTGAGCTGCCAGGTGGTCTGAGGCACCGCTGCCTCTAGTGACACCGACAGCTGGCATCGCAGCTGGTGATTGTCAGGTGCATTTCTAGGGTCATGTCCATATACACTGCATATTTCAGGTCATAAATTACTGAGTATTTTAATTAAGTATAACATCAAATAAAAGAAAATGTCTCAAATAATAATTAGAACTTGGCTTATTTAGTTAAAAAGACGGATGCGCTCAATCTTATGCAAGTTAGAGGAAGCGATCGAGTGACTAATTTAGATTCGTTTCAAGAGAAAGAAAATTTTATATTAATTTGTATTTAACCGGAATCAAAATATGATATAGCCAATTATGCTAACAGTTTATTTATGGCTTTCATTGAATTTTTTTTAAATATTATATTCTTTTCCTAATGTAAACATGTAATACCATGTTGTGAAACTTTGATATCAATCGCTTCGATGGAGACAAACATGAATGACTGAAGAAAAATGAACTTGGCAGCGCATCTATGACAAAAAAAAAACACAATCATGAATTTAAACGCAAAGTAGAGAGAAATGTGGGTATTGGATTGACAGCGACGGCATGCTTGTGAAGGACAGTGAAATTGATTCTCAATGATATGTGTTTCGTACCATAATGTGTAAGTGGTTATTTGGAATTTTATTTCAAATTTTATCAAATTGCTTTAGCGCAATGTATATTTACCTAGGAGTATTTATTCCCTGGCGAGACAATTTTAGAAATGTGATAACATTTTGGTACAAGCAATAAAAATTAACGGTTCATACTCAATAGGTTCACACTCTACTAACGCTGATGAGCTATGAACAGTGTGTGCTCAGGTCTCATGTATATTTCTAAGGCCTCTGTTTATTGTAGAAAATGCCATGAACTGATTGTTGTTTGTTTGCTTTTAGAACTACATTAAAAAAAGTAAAAATAAAGAACAATAATGACAATTCAAACTCCATCAAATCCCTAAGCCAATTTCCAAGGTTGCAATTAAATTCCAAGAAAAAAAATTTACTAGTTCATTGGCTCGGAAGTGATCATTTATAATCTCAATGTTATTAAAAGAAATATTCCACAATACGCCCTTTTAGAAAAATCACAACAGAAGTACTTGCTAAAAAATCTCAATGTAGGCCAATCATCCAATTTTACGCCAATTCGATGAAATTCGTACGCAGGTACAGGGTCGACGGGTATCACCTTGACCAGATAGCTGTCAAAAGCGGGACCAGGACAGGCGCTGTGATGCGCGTGTAAGTCGTTCCCTGAGACACTAACGCGCTTTGAAGACACCGACATGCGTTCAGCTTCACGTTCGCGTCACAGCATTAAATCATGGCACGAAAAACGGTGCAACAGCTTGCCTTTGCCTCGTTGACTCAATTTTGCCTTGAATTGATTTCCGATTATGAGAGACTGTATTCAAACTTATATTTGCCTCCTTATTACAGCTGGATTTAGATTGCTGGGCAGCAATTGAAATAATTTGGATATTGATAAATTTAAAATAATAGCAAATAATTCTTTGCTTCAGTATGCTATTGATTTTTCAATTAAATAGCAATAGG